TTCCTCTTGGTGGACTTTGTGTTGAACTTGATGGTGTGACGGCCTCAGGTCAGACTTTCGCGCTTAGGGTTTACCCATAGGCCCTAAAGTAGTTCCTTTTTGAGGTTCATATATAGAATCCTATAAGGTAATCCCAAAAAGGAACTACTATGGGCCCTATGGTAGGCTATATCAGAGTCCTTCAGAGTGAAACTTCGCGGCGAGAGCCATAGCAGCGGTGCTGCAGACACCAGGAGTGTGTAATGGCTACCAAAGACTAAACCCGAATCACACGCTGTGCTTCACTGGACACAGCTTTTTCTCTCAAAGCCTTTGCAGTCTCATGGTATTGAACGCAGGCATAGACCTCATTCGCTCCAAGCTGTAAAAATCTTACAGACGCAGTAGCAAGCACTAGTGTTTCCAACCACCTCTTCACCATTTTCAGAACCTTTCTGCGCCCTTCACCCAAAGCCTACTCCAACTTTCCATCTCCAATCCTTAAGCTGACAGGTACACCTTTACTTCCGACAGCTTCGGACCGCGCCGACTACTCGTCCACATTGCCGGGGCCTCTTTCGATCTTACTCGAGCTTGGGGTATATCAGGCCGTGAAGCCCACTTCGGATATAGAAGCCTGATTCCTTAGGGTTCCTCTTTTGAAACTGACTATAGCATACCCCTCTTCTAATTCTCATGGCCCGTCTTTGGCTCTGAGAAAGGTTGGGGCTCCTGCTCCAAGCTTTTCCCTCGAAGCCTCTAAGATTCAGTGCCGGTATCGGGAGGGTTTAGGGTTCACCCAAACCCCAAAGGTAGGTAAAACACTGGCCCGAAACCTATGAAGGCCTATTATTCTACATACTTCTGGGGTCCAGGTAGGGTTTAGGCTTTAGACTAGGGCAGTTGGAAGCGCTCATGTCTACGAGGGTCTATACCTTGAGTCGAAATAAAGAGTCCTCTTGCGTTTAAGGCATATAGTACCTTAACTGAGGTATATACACCTTCAAATGTGAGAAGGAAGCCCATCATATTTTTGTTAAGGCCTATTCCTCGATCAAGGGGTATTGCGCTCTGCGTACCCCAAAGCCCTAAACCCAAAGCCGAATACTGGCCCTTAGAGGAACTGTTACCCTAAACCCCAAACTCTAATCCTTAAGTCCCTAAACCCTAGAACCCTAAAGCCCGAAGCCCTTGAAGGAACTGTTAGAGGAGCCCCCAAAATTCTGATCCCTGGGGTCGATAGCACAGAGCATCTCTAAACCCTGACCCCCCAAAGCCCAAAACACAAAAACACGAAAGCCCAAATCCTAAGGAACGCAGGGTTTAGGGTTTAGGGTTTAGGGGCGAAAACATCTATATATGTAAACCCGTTAAGCTCCAAATCCGACCAAATCCTAGATTTCAAAAGAACGCAAGACATCTAAACCCAGAGCCCGAAACCCTGGAGCCTGATCATGGAGCCTCCCCCTCAGGCGGGACTTCTTCGGGTTTGGGGTTTTAGGGCATCCTCCAAAGGTTTCTATAGGGGTTCCAAGGGTTTTGTTTTGTTTTGTTTTTTGGGGTGTTTTGTTTATTGTCGTGGGTTTAGGGTTTAAAGGCTTTGGAGTTTTGGATTCGAGGTTAAACCTAAACCCTAAACCTACTTCTTCCTGCCCTGAGGCATCGACGGCTTGAGGTCGTTTGGGTTTAGGGCTTAGGAACCGTCAAAACCAAGAGCCTTTTCGGGTTCAGGGTTTAGGGTTTACCCAGAGGCTTCGTTGTAGTTCCTCTTTTCGGTTACCTTACATGATCCTACATGGTTTAACCAAACAAAGAACTATATAACGGAGACTACAGGTAAGGTTTAGGGTTTCCCTAAACCCTAAACCCTAAACTCTAAAATGGCCCAGGCCTATGGAACCTTCAACACCAAGACCTATTTCTTGGTGGTGATGGGCTGCCTCCGTGGGTGTCGCCCTCAGTCCGCTGTGGCTGCGACGCGAATCCGTTTGAACGGTGTAGCTCCCAAGCTAAGGGGTTTAGGGGTTTAGGGTTTAGGGTTTAGGAGTTGAGGGTTTAGGGTTTTAGGGTTTAGAAAACCGCCCCGCAATCCTGTTTGAATCGCTTTGGATCTGCAAAGAAGTACGACTTTCCCCATCTCTCGGTATCTACGACGCATTAGGCTTGGGTCGGTGATATTTGCAGACTGCTCCGGGTCGCGGCTCAGTGCATGTCAGCAAGGGGTTCCAGCGAACGGATGGGCCCAGGTTTCGCGGGGAGCCAGGGTTTGGGTTTAGGGGTTTAAGGTTCAGGGTTCAGGGCTTCGGGTTTAGGGTTTAGGGTTGCCTAGGCCCTAAATGTCTACGACGCAAAACTCACCGACTTAAGCACTTCAACCCCAAACCCCCAACCCCCAAGCCCCAAAATCTTGAACCCCAATCCCAAAACCCGTTTCAAGCCAGGCCGATCCTGGATCAGTCCCAAAGCTTTAGGGTTTAGGGTTTAGGGTTTAGGGTTTAGGGTTAGGGTTTAGCAGCCCCAAAGCTTCTAAGCTCTCAAGTGAGCTTCTCCTGCTTCAAAAATCGCCTGACCTGAACCCTAAACCCTGTAGCCCTGTAACTTTAAACCCCTAAACCCGGTACCCAAAAGCCTACCCTAAAACCCTAAACCCTAAACCCTAAACCCTAAAACTCTAACCCTAAAGCCCAGGTACGAGCTGAACTTGGGGCAGCTGGCGCTCGCTTCGGTCCTCACCATCGACTGGAACTCAGTGACTGCTCACCCAACTTGCATACAGACATGAGATATGCATATACATATACATAATGCGTTTGTGTACATGTCCCTCCTCGTCATTCTCGATGGGTACATTTATGTGTGTATGTACATGTATGTATGTACGTATGTATGTATGTATGTATGTATGTATGTATGTATGTATGTATGTACGTATGCATGTATGCATGTATGGATGTATGTAAGTATGGATGTATGGATGTACGGATGCATGGATGTATGCATGGATGTATGCATGTATGGATGTATGGATGTATGGATGTATGGATGTATGTATGTATGTATGGATGTATGGATGTATGGATGTATGTATGTATGTATGTATGTATGTATGGATGGATGTATGGATGTATGGATGTATGGATGTATGGATGTATGTATGTATGTATGTATGTATGTATGTATGTATGTATAATGTGTACACACACAAATTCCACTGTAACTGACATCGCATTCCACACACAAGCTCCTGTTAAAACAAGGCTCTCAAGCAGAAGGGGCTGTACAAGCAGCTTTTGCAGGCGTCCGGTTGGCTGGGCGCTCAATGAACTTCGATCACAGTCTACCTTAAACTACGACAACCACGAATTTTTGTTGGTTCTCATAATAATATGAACCTCAATATGAATTTATAGGGGCTATACAAAAAAGGTAGGCTGTGGTAGCTCCGGGTAGTGTGTTGTGGCGCATGCCCGGGCCGGTACGCTTATGGAAGAGGAGCCCTCACTCTGAAGTACCCGCGGTTTAGGGTTTGGGGTTTAGGGGGTTGAGGGTTCAGGGTTTAGGGATTATAAGGGTTCAGGGTTTAGGCTTGAGGGTTGGTGGTTTTATTAGGGTTTAGCCCCCCACCCCCCAGAGCATGTCGGTCACGATTGGGGTTTAGGGTTTAGGGTTTAGGAGGCACAATCCTTGAGGCATCTCGAAATTGTCTCACATGCACACCCACTGATTAATGCAGCCCTGATTGTTATAGGGTTTAGGGTTTAGGGTGATTTTCAAGGGGGCCTACAAGATACAATGATTGATCAATTGATCAGGGAAGGATCCTATCGTCAGAGCCCTTCCAAAGGGCTCCCGGGTTTTCGGCTGTTTAAGGTTTAGGGTTTAGGGTTTAGGGTTTAGGGTTTAGGGTTTAGGGTTTATAGGGGCTGTAATAAATACCCATAATATGTTAATTTTAGGGGCTCCTTATTAGTATTATTATAGTATAATGGGCCCCAAAGCTTTATTCTAATTATTAGGGCCCCTACATTATAAACATTGTAGCAGGAACTTCCTGGTACCCTCAAATCGGGGTACATGGCTATCCAAAAATGGATATTTAGGCTAAAACAGAGGGTAGATGGGAGGGGTCTAGGGTACGCATTTGAAACACACAAGTGTGGGCGAGGCTTACATGGTTAACGTGATCAGGCCGCCAGTAGATCGTCAACTGCACCACCAGTCCAGAACTTGTTTATTTTGCCAGTTTCAAGCGACGTCTCGCTACTTTGACCTACCATGACTTCTTTCTTGTCGTTTCCGCATAAATGCCATATTCGTGCTTTATATGACCCTACAAAATTGCTGTACTCCTGGTGTCTACGCGGCTGGCCTTTACTGTACCCTGAACTCTCCCCGATGCTGAGAGCAGAGACCTTAAACCATCTTAAACTTCTTAATTCCCCAATACCCAACCTTTAAACTTGTTGGGTTCTTATAATTTAGTAGTAACCTGAAAGTTTAACCTTTAAGTTCCCTGGCTTATTGGGGAAGTAAGACTTAAACCCTAAACCCTAAACCCTTAACCCGAAAGAACCAGGCCCTGCTTCACAGTCTGCTTCTACGTCGAGCATCGGATCGGTCACCTGCTGTGAGCTTAGCTGCTCTCAGATCCCAAAGGGTCGTATGTACCTGTATAGTAGAATGTAGGGTTTTCATATTAGGAATGACGATTATGGTTTCGGGAAGTATCCCCCATAACAGTACATAGGACCCTTCGGGGATATCTCAGGACCACAGACGCACCAATTTAAAACCCATAGAGAGGCCAAAACACAAGTTTCCGTCAGAGCATAAACAGACAGGACGTGAATCCTAAACCCTACCGTACAGAAGCTTGAAAGACCTTCGACATCAGTCCTTCGGCCTTGAAAGCCCCTGAATCCGGCCCTTGATTCTGAACACCCAAGACCCCAAAAGCTTCAAGCCTACAAAGCCTAAGTGGATAAGCACAAGTCATGGCATGTCGCTGTCATTCTACTGAGGCCGGTTGTGTACCAGCATGCTCACAAAATGCAGCTTGGCTTGAATTTGCCGCAGTGAGTACACCAAGCAAGTGAACCGTAAAAACTGAACCTCTACACAACTTGAACCCCTAATGCATGAACTGTCCCTTGATGTCTGAACACGATACACCTCAACCCGAGCATCGGCTGCACAGGAGGAGCATTAGGGCTTGGGGCCGGTTCTGCAGTCTTGAACTGTGGGATGTGGAGCGGGAAGGAGATCCAAACCTCCCAAATGCCAGCCTTGTATCTTCCATGCATCGAGCATTAGATCCATCACTTATCCTTTTTGTTGCAGCGTGTTATGGGAGACAGTCTGACGTGGGTTAGAAGAAGCCGCATACAACAGGATTTCACGCACCTGCAGTGTCCTTCGCTGTTGTAGCCAAAGAGGCATCACTACTTGCACGACTCCACTGCCTTTGATGCCCACATCTACGGCAGTGGCATGAACGAGGTCCAATGATCACGGGAACCTACATGTTTTACCTCTGCTGAATTCTCAACCAGCTCCGTGCATAGTTCAAGCAGAACTTTCGACTATTGGATCAGAAGGCTGATGACTCGATCATAAGTATACTGGGACGATCTTGTTTTCGCAGACAGTCATAGTGAATATGGGAAGCCCCCCCATTTAGTTAGCACTCTGTTGTAGCTGTCGTCCCCTAATGCTAGACCCTATATATATATATATATATATATATATAGCCTTAATTCGAAAGCGGAGCTTAAAGCTTCAATCCCGAAATCCTAAACGCCAAGTAGCCTGCCCAACCTGGGCATTACAACCTATGTTGGACGGAAATCGGGCAACCCTGAGGGCTAACCTAAACCCTCGAGCTTTCCAGCACTCGCCCTCCAGGAGTTTTTTTGGATCCTCGCAGAGACGTTGCCCTGCCAGAAGCTCAAAGCACTGAGGCTGTGAGGTCGACGACAAGATTTACGTTTTTTAGGGTTTGTGGCTTATGGTTTAGGGTGTCAGTGCTCAGTTTCGGGTTTGGGGTGTTTAGGACGAAGTTTGCGGGCCAAATTTCCAAATTCAGGGGATTTGGTGCTTTAGGAGGTTGCTCTGCTATAGGGTTTATATGACTTACTCCACCATGAAGTTTTTGTTGTTGGCATGGGGTGTTGAATGCCGCCTTGTGTCTTGAGCTGAAAGTGCGGCTACCAAAGTCGAAAGTAGGCTCTGGTAGTTCAAAGTCAGTTCAAAGTACTTGGAGGTCCGTGGGTAGATTTGAATATTATACTGTTCTAAGTAGGGTCCCATATTGAAGGACATATAACTCCACTTATAGCTTCAGAGTTCCTTGTTGGATTTAACCAACTCTTACATTCAGCATCCTAAAAGGTAGCCCAAAACAAAGAACTACAACGAAGACTATGGCTATCCATGAACCTCCCAGTAGGGTTGACATGTTAGTCGTCCCTCGTCGGGATCTGGGCCGAGGGGAACCTAGGAGTTTCGAGACTGCTGGGGTGGAGAGGCTGGAAATCAGAACTTGGCGCAGACTTGGATAGAATAGGGGCCTAAATAACTACCTATACCAGTTCGGGGGTTCCTTACGATAACACTAGTATAGTATGCCCCAAAGCCCTATTCTAATTATTGAGGCCCCTACATTAGGTTTCCTGCCGTTGGTTTGTCCACACAGGTTCGAGGCTTCTGTCACTAGGCAGCGGCTGAAACCCAAACCCTGAACCCTACCAGAAGTAATCTCATCCTTGAGTTGCGCCTGCGTGGGAGCTGTCCGACAACATGGACATTCCGAGTGACCTTTACTCGCCCGACCAAACCCTAAACCCTAAACCCCAAACCCTCAACCCTCAGCCGGCTTAAGCTTTTGGATTAAGACTCAGGGTAGCAGTGTCTATCGTAACCCCAGAGGGTAACCTGCTGTTTTAGTTTGGGTTTTAGGGTTAAGGGTTTGGGGTTTAGGGTTTAGGGTTTAGGGTTTGGGGTTTAGGGTTTAGGGTTTTGGGGTTTAGGGTTTAGGGTTTAGGGTTTAGGGTTTATGGGAAGTCATAGTACGGAACTCTGAAGAGGTAGGATTTCTCGGGTCCATGTATGGTTTGGGGTATGCGACGCCAACTCCTAGACCAAAGTTGTAACGCTTGGTTTTAACGGGTTTGGGGCTTAGGGCAGGTTTTGGTTGAGGGGTTAGTTCCCCTAAACCCAAAACCCTAAATCCTAAACCCTAAACCCCGAACCCTAAACCCTAAACCCAAAACCCAAAACCCCAGATAGCTTCAGCACAGAAGCCTATAGTCAGTGGGAGGGCCTGGGGCACGGCTGGTCCACCCTCGCTCTAGGCACGCACCTGCCATGCAGGAGCTATCTGGTGCCTTCGCTAGTATCCTGATTCGTCACGGATTTTGTGCTTTGCCTCATGCTTTCGGGGCGGAGGTGAGGGGGGAGGGGGGGAAGTTCAATACTTTACACCTGGCTGTATAGGGTCTTGCCGGTAATATTTGATCCTTCACCACTAGCAACAACATTGCTTTGCACGAGGTCTCCTCGCGCCCAGTGTCTTCTTCCCATATTTTCTGCCTCTTGGAATGTGTTTGAGGTGAGGTTGCCGTCGGCGAGGGTGCAGCTTTTCAGCCCTTATTCGGTTGTTCCCAGAGAGCCCAATACCCCTTAATCAAGGAATATACCTTAAACAAGACCCCTAAACCCTAAACCCTAAACCCTAAACCCTTATATTCCTTAGTTAAGGGGCATTGGGCTCTCCGGGATGGTGTTTCTAGTACGTGGGATTGCTCATAAGGCGGCCTGCATTGACAAATAAGAGCAATCGACATCATGTCTTCTTTCAGCTTGTAGAACGAAATGATATAGGGGCCTTAATCAATTTCCTATACTATATTGGGGATTCCTCATTATAGCTCTAGTATACTATACCCCAAAACCCTATTCTAATTCTTAAGGCCCAATTGTAGAACCCGATTATAGATCCCTTATAGAACCCTTTAAAGAACACTTAAAGGAAGCCCCTAAACCCTAAATTGGAGACAGTTTTGTCCAGGAAAAAGTGAGATCCTTCCCAAGATTGCAGTCCTTTCCCAAAGTCGGACGCAGCTCATTCAGGTTTAGGGTTTTAGGGTTCAGGGTTTAGGGTTTGGGGTTTAGGGTTTGGGGTTTAGGGTTTAGGGCTCAGTCACTGAGCACCAGGATACGATACCGTGTCCTGCACAGCTGCTTCTTTTGGGGGTTAGGTTGCTATGGCTATATGCAGGGGGCTTCTATCTCGAGGAAGGTCGTGCTGCTTTATGATCACTACGATCCTGCAGGGTGTCTCAAGCCCTCAACCTCATTCCCTGGACCCTATAGGCCTCATGTAAACCGGTACATCCAGAACCCTAGATTGGCCCTAACCAGTTCCGAAAAGGAGCTAGTAGCTATGGAAACAAGTGTCTTCAGGCTGCGGAGAAAAAAGCTAGAGCATCACCCGTCAACCAACATATTCGGCGCTCACTTCACAGGGTGTGGGTTCGGTGTGCAGTTTAGGTTTTAGATTTTAGACTTTACGGGTTTACGGGTTTGGTTGGTTTAGGGTTTGGGTTTTGGGTTTACTGTAGGTATCAAGCAGCAATCTTGGGTGCATTAAGCAGCAACCTTGAGTGCAGCCGAGGAATGTCGACACGCTGTATTCGCCAGGGGCCCGGGGCTGTTGCTTGAGAGCTGGAGAGGCGCCAGGTTGCTTAATTCGGGTCTAGGGTTTAGTAAATTTAGGGTTTAGAGTTTAGGGTTTAGTAAAATTAGGGTTTAGTAAATTTAGGGCTTAGAGTTTAGGGTTTAGGCAGGGTCTGAAAAACTCACCCTCTAGGCCCTAAGCCCCTAAACCCTGAACTCTACACCCCTAAATCCTGAAACCTAAACCCTAAACGCTGAACCCTAAACTTGGCCCTATAAACGCCAAACCCTAAACCGTTGTCCGCGGTACTGTTAGGAGTACTTTCCCAAATCATAATAACAGTAGCAACGGCTCCGAATATAGAGCCCCCAAATTCTACTTCTCTCTCTCTCTCTCTGTCTCTCTGTTGTATACATATATATATATATATATATATATATATATATTTATTTATTTATTTATTTATTATCTAGTTATTAAAACTGGACCTTTGGCAATCTGGGGTCTGAGACAGCAATCCGTAAACCCTACACCCGAATCAAGTATGAACCTGATTAAGAGACCCTGGCCCTATGACCCCCCAAAGTACTAGTATTCGCATAAAGAACCCGCCCTAAGAAAGACAAAGGGTTTCTGAATCCGGTTCGCATCTGACCCTCATGCTTGCAGGATCATGGGACTCAGGTGATATGTACCTGCATTGGGGAGACAAGTAACTACACGTATAGTTACCCTAATACTCACCCTAGTTACAGAGTCCCATGGTCTTTTAATCTTTTACGCAACTTGTCTGAAGGGCGGCCGCTGGGGCTGGCCCCCGCTGATGTGCAGGTCCTGGACCAACAAGTCTTCCCACACGCGCACGGCGGATGAGAAGGACGTAGGGTTTAGGGTTTAGGGTTAATGGCAGTTGAACCTATTCCATGCATGACTTCAGCAAAAAGAAGTAGCTGCTCTGAAGTCCGCTGAGCAGCTGACAGTACCAAGACAGAGCCTTGTGCCGAAGGAGTATGGCTTTTGCGACGAGGCCGTCGGGAAGTGCCGGCAAGATACGCAAGCGCATATTTGTGGATACCAAAGTGCAGGCAAGGTCTTATTATAGCACCCTGAAGCCGAAGTTGCTTTGACCCGTCCCACAACATGAGTGCCTACCTGAACAACGGAGCTGATGAGAAGAAGCAAGCGGTTGGCGATTTCGGACTGCAGATCCAGTGCTGAGGGGGTGGAATGCAGTTGGGGATTTATAGACCCTAAACCCTAAACCCTAAACCGTTTATTGTTTCAAGTGTTGGGTTCGAGGCTGAAGATTGATATACATTATGATGTGGCACACTCATAGTCTGTTTCTTGCTACTGCCACTACTCTTGTCATGTCATTGTGATGGCTGTTGGGTTCAGACTGTTTGCAGGTATGCTTGTGATGCATGATGATGATGATGATGATGATGATGGCTGCCACATGAGATCTGTGTTGCGCCTGGATGGCAGGAACCTCCACCCAAGATTCAACAGATAGAGCTGTGCAAGAACCCCAGTTACCAATAGCGGAGTATACTTTCGATGGACACCGTGCTTGGTGCGCTCTTTTGAAAAGCGCGGTGCACAACCCCACTGGCAACTGGGCCTCTAGGGTAGAAGTCCTCTGACATGGTTTCCCCTTGCCCATGTTGCCGGAGTATAGCTTCCTTAGGGCTCCTTCCTACTATGATGATCACAGAATCTATGAGACCACGACAATTACCCTCAAATCCATATCTGAATCTAATGCGCTGTCCCGAACCCCCTCTCTAACCAGTGTGGCCCAGTTGTCAATGTATCACGCTCAGCACACCGGGATGCAACTCTATGACCAAAAAACCCTAAACCCGAACCGCAGTCTTCCAGGAGGTGTAAATTATATACTGCTACCATTCCCTAGTGTTCCCAGCGGAACTTTACTTTGACATACCCTGGGACTACATCTTCATGTGGTAGAGCGGTTTGTGAGTGTCATGGATGCTGGCCTCTTTGCCAAGTGGAAGCAAGTATGCTCATGTTGTCAGTGGCGGCCGAAGTAGCAACGGTAGTACTCATGACGTGATCAAGCAACTCCAGCATGGCCTTAAGAAACAGGCGAACTTCCATGCCGATCACCACACCCTGCACCGGGCGAACTTCGGATCGTCACAGGGCATTCTGCATCGACCTTGGAGGACGTAGAAGTTTCAGAAAGCCCTAAACTTCCCTAAACCCCGAAATCCTAAACAAGAGACCCCATGCCCAACTGGACTTCTAGATAAGGAACCCCATCTTGACATACGCTGCCTTGAGGTTCATGTTTCAGAGTTGAAATCCTCTAATTGTCAGACTTTCATGAAATGCGGAACAGCTTGTAAGCCCGCAGTGAATGAGCCGTATGTACATATGTATGCACGTATGTATGCACGTACGTATCTATGTACGCATGTACGTATGTACGTATGTATGTATGTATGAATGTATGATGGATGGATGGATGGTTCGATGGATGGATGGATGGATGTACACCCTAAACCCGAACTAAACTCTAGACCCTAAACCCTAACTAAGCCCTAAGCCCTAAATCCTAACTAAACCCTAAACCCTAGACCCTAAACCCTAAACCCTAAACCCTAACTAAACCCGAAGCCCTATGTATGTCAATGTACAGCTTTCGTTTTGGGGAGCCGAGATCTCTGTCTCAAAACGGTATGGACTGCAGGGGCCCCCCGTCTTCACACAAAGAAACCCTACGGGTCCATGTACCGTAAGGGCTTCCTTTAAGGGTACCATAGGGTTTAGGGTTTAGGGTTTAAGGGCCCATGTATTTCAAGTAGTATATAATTTGGCCCCAAAGTACCTTTTTTTACGGATTGCTTTGAGGCCAAAGTATATACTATTTGGGTCGAAGGACACTTTAGGGAAACCGTGATCCGTACTTGTGCGGCTTTTTGTGTTTCAAGAGGCTCTAAGCTTGGACTTGATGTTGGGGTTAGGGCTTCGGAGGCAACTATAGCCTTGCTTAAGTTTGAAAATCATCATTGTAGGTTTAGGGTTTTGCCTTGATTAGCTTGTTGTTATTGTTAGTGATGCAGCTATTATTATTATTATGATGATGATGACCCGTGGGCACTAGATGCGGTTCGCTGGGAGAGCACAAGCATGTCATGAGGATTCACACCAGGGGGCATAGGGTGTAACATGAAGGCATGTAGGGCTTTGAGGGTTTTGGGTTCATGGGGCTTAGAGTGACTTCTACTCATCCGTTGCATCAGCTCTTGAGTCGTAGGTCTGACTTGAGAGAGGATGGCTCTTGATACCCTAAATCCTAGGCCCTAAACCCTAAACCCTAAACCATAAACGGTTTAGGGTTTAGGGTTTAGGGTTAGCTGCGACAGCACAGCCCGTAAACCTGAACCATTGAGCCACGAGGTTGGATGTCTATTTCGGCACAGCAGGTGCCAACACCCGGGGCGCAGCAGGCCGGCCAAGGGGTGTAGTTCCGATCTCAAGGCACAGTGGCTTAGGGTTTAGGGTTTAGGGTTTAGGGTTTAGGGTTAGGGGCTGAGGCGTGGATTCCCAAACTGACCCGAAAGCCCCAAATCCTTGAACATCGAAGGCACGGATCTCACTGACAACGACTGCGAACACCGAAACGACTGCACGTCACGAGGACGACTACGATTGCCCCACCATCCCCTCCACAAAGGACGGCGGCTTCCACTACTGCTGCTGGTGCTGCTGTTACACTGCTGTTGCTGCTCCTGCCAAAGCTACCACTAACACTACTGCTATTGCTGCTGTGTAACTGCTTTGGGTCCCTTGCTGATATTAGATCCTTGTTTTCCCGAAACTACCTTGCAGATTAACTTCTCTCGCAGTTAAAGAACCCAAGATAGACCCAAGAAATCGAGCTTCGCTACTTATAGGCTCGTGGAAGGCTTTCAGTTTGTCCTCTACACCTTCTAGCCTTGACTGACCAGACACTAATAAACCCCTGCGAACCCCAGCATCGAGCTTGTAATGTAAGCTAAAACCCTAAACCCAAACCCAAACCCCAAAACCCTAAACCCCAAACCCTAAACCTCAAACCCCCAAAACCCTAAACCTCAAACCCCCAAAACCCAAAAACCCTAAACCCAAAAACCCTAAACCCAAAAAACCCGAAACCCTAAAGATTGGGCCTTAGATCTTGGCCAGGACCCCAACATCCTGAAACCTCTGCGTCCTACCCTAAACCCTACACCCTAGACCCCAAGCCATGAACCCTAAGCCCTAAACCTTAGAAGCCCTAAACGCTACATAACTCCTCAACCGGTCAAGCCAGCAACCCTACCTGTGAGCCATCAACTACCAGGCCTGACCTACGAACGGAAAGAGCATCCTAGCGACCCGGAGAAGCTCGTCATCCGCATCGAGCGCCCAGAGCTCGGGTCAGTTTGCAAGGATGTTTTTGGTTTTAATGTAGGGGCCATGATAATTTTAATAGGATTTCTGGGTATATTAACTAGAATAATAATAAGGAGCTCTCAAAATACTATAGGTACTCATTGTTGCCACTATACTAGTGTGTTTAGGGTTTGGGCTTTAGGATTTGGGCTTAATGGTTTCGGGTTTAAGGGTTTGGGTTCCGTAAGGTCGAGAGCTTGAGGTATGTAGATCCTGGGGAATACGGTTTCCAACATCAACTCCATAGATTGTTGAACCCTAAACCCTAAACCCTAAACCCTTTCTTCCTTCACCACTTCCGTTGCATTGTCCCCTACAGACAGTATGGCATGATGCAGGAACCCTCAACCCGACATTAACTTATAAATTGAACGGAGCTTTGTCAGAGCCGACGTTTGCATCGTGGTGGATGCTTCGACATACTGAAAGGATCGGAACAGTTGGTAATGGAATACCTTTACGTAGAGTTCCCTATGTAACTATACCTTTTATCTACCCAGCACCTATTCCAATTATTGAGGCCCGCTTTGAAGCATCCAGGTGGTCCTTTTTACGGCCTGGCCTGCCTGGGGTGACACTTTCGAAAAACATCCTCCACTTTGTGGCATGTTAATGCAGGGGGCTTAACAATTATGAAATAGGGTTTTGGTGTATATTATATTTTACATATAATACAGAACCCGCAAAATAGTATAGGTAAAACTGTAAAACCCTAAACCCGAAGCCCACAGAACAGCTGGGACTCTCGCTGCGTACTTGTCAGCCCGACCAGTGGATGACAGAAGTGATCGTTCTTGCCCATTCTTTCTCCGTCGCCTAAAAGAGGGGATCAATAATAAGAACAGGGTTTTGGGGCCCATTATGCTTTAACTATAACCAGGAACCCCCCCGCAAAAAAAATAGTATTGGCAATTGTTTAGGCCCCTACATCACCTTCCGAGACGGTCTTGAGACCAACACCTGGGGTCCTAGACAAGACCCGGTATCTGCATGACTGAACGCAAATTCCCTAAAACTCGTGCATAAAAGTGCACGTCTGCAGGCTTGTGCTCTAGATATACGTACGGTTGCATATGTACTTATACATGCACTCATAGATACATACTTACATAGAATACTAAACATATGACTAAACTTGAATATTTGCATACACGCACGCATCACCCTAAACCCTAAACCCTAAACCCTAAACCCTAAACCCTAAACCCTAAACCCTAAACCCTAAACCCTAAACCCTACCAAGCTGCATTGCTCCAGAGCTCCAACCAAAGCCCTACACACGAAGCAAGTCTGCGATCACACTCAACTTAAAGGATCCTGGCTACCTATGTGGGAGCTACCCATAGGCCCCATAGTAGTTCTTTTTTGGGACTACCATATAGGGTTCTAAATATGAACCCCAAAAAGGAACTACTATGGGACCTATGGGTACTTGCATAAACGATAACCGTAGCTCACAAGAAAGAAACTCCTTCTCTGTCTTGTAGTGGTACCTCGAGCCTTTGTATCATGCCGGTACTCACACCGTAAGCCGACCCTAATTCCTAGACCCCAAACCCTAAACCCTATAAACCCCAACCTCAAACACCTAAACTGAGCGAAGCGAGCACAATAACGAGGCGCAGAAGGCTCCCTCCGGGTTGCGAGCACGGCGGCGGCGCCGGCCGTGCCCTGTCTTGCAAAGCAACGGGGCCCGAAGACTCACTCAAAGCAAAGCCTACCTGGAGAATCGCCTGGATAATCATGGCACTTAGTAAGTAAGGCTCCTTAAAAAAATCCTTAAATGGATCGACCTATAAGTGTTCTACAGGGGGGTACGGGACTTAGGAAGTATTATAAGTCGATTGAAGATTGGAGAGCTTTCATTTTCACACCCCCCCAAAAAAGAAACCTAGCAGTGGAGCAGGTAACTTTTAACCTTTGGGGGGCGCGGGGTATTATCATCCCTGTATAGTCCCAAAGGTTAGCCTTTAGTTCCCCTAGGATATTGGACAAGTAAGAGGAGGTGACAGGCAGGTCTTGAATCTTGAAGAAGAGCCCTCCGGAGTAGCTTGGGAGCAGACAGTACTAGGGTTTAGGGTTTAGCGGTTAGGAGGGTTTAGGGTTTAGGGTATAGAGTTTAGGGTTTAGGCTTTAGGGGTGTTTAGGGTTTAGGGTATAGGGTTTAGGGTTTAGGGTAGTTACTATAAGGATTCTCTGCATACCAGATTTCAGAGGCCCTAATAGGGAGGGTCGGACTAATGTTTAATGACATACTCCCTGACTAGACTCAAATGCGGCCAAAGATCCCAAAGATTTAAACTCGTAAATTTGTGTTTGTCTTTGGAGTCTAACAATCCCACACCCTATGCCCATACCCTATCTCCGAAATCCTAGCCCTAAAGCCTAAACCTGAACCCTCGACCGTCCATAAGCTGCCGCACCTTCAAGGTTCGATATAGGAAGCGAAAAATGACATAGGCCTCAACATTTTTACAGCGACATCCCTACCTTGTTGGGCTTCATTGTAAGGAAGTTCATATGGGATATCCCTAGCTGAAGTTGTCCTCATGTGCTTTTCGGGTCCTATCCATGGCTCACGGCTGACACAAGGGCATCTGCAGCATCACCCTACTATAGGGGCCTTCATCCGTAAGAATTACCTATACTATTTTGGGGGTTCCTTACTATAATTTATAGTATTATATACACCAAAACCCTATTCTAATTATTAATAGTATACACTGTACATGCAAACCCTATTCTAGTTATTAAGGCCCCTACATGACCTTGGGAGATCGGCCCAAGACACACGGAGCCCGAGCTGACCCGTTTGAGATGCTTGAAGGCCCAAGTGACCCCCAAAGTTTGGGGTTTAGGGTTTGCGGTTTAGGGTTCAGGGAAGCAGTAGTAGTAGCAGTAGTAGCAATAGTAGCAGTAGTTGCAGTAGCAGTAGCAGTAGCAGTAGCAGTAGCAGTAGCAGTAGCAGTAGCAGTAGCAGTAGCAGTAGCAGTAGCAGTAGCAGCAGCAGCAGGAGTAGGAGTAGTAGGAGTAGGAGTAGTAGTAGTAGTAGTAGTAGTAGTAGTAGGAGTAGTAGCAGAAGTAGTAGTAGTAGTAGTAGTAGCAGCAGTAGTAGTAGTAGTAGTAGTAGTAGTAGTAGTAGTCGTGGTGGTGGTGATGATATGAATCCTGCATTGTCTTAAGAATCCTAAACTATGGGAATTATGGTATACTAATATTCCTTATTATGGGTAATGCAGGATGTAGATCTTCAACTGTAGTTTAACGAAAGGAACCTCGTGGGTTCAGTGTAGGGTCTGCTTCAGGCTTTAGGATTTAGGGTTTAGGCTTTAGGATTTAGGGTTTAGGGTTTAGGGTTTAGGGTTTAGGTTTTAGGTTTTAGGGTTTAGGGTTTAGGGTTTAGGTTTTTGGGATCAAGCCTTACAGCTCAGCTCTAGGCGTCAGAAACCAACCCATTTTTGCTCTAAAGCCCAAGAACCAGACCCGAAGCCCTAAACCCAAAAGCAACCTTAAACCCTAAAATCTTTTTTAAAGGCCTCGAAACCCCAGGTCACCCAGGACAACGCGGACGAGAGCACTTGCGCAAGCAGTGAGCGTGTCGTTTCCGAGGCCTGTCCATCGAAAGCTTGTGCGGTTCTTCCCCATGGGGGTCGCGGTTCCGGGGCGCTTTGGGGTTTTTAAAGTGGAAATTGGGAGCTGAAGGTTTCGGGGCTTAGAATTGATGATTGGGGGTTTAGGGTTGATAGGGGCTAAAATCATTTTTTTCGAGCTGAGTCGTACGAGTTTAGGGTGAAGAGTTGCAGCTTTTTGGTTGGGTGCTCAAGTTTAAGCATGTGAGGTTGGCAAAGCATGGGGCCACCAGGCAGTCGTCCGTAGCACACCAGCATTGCTTTCGTTTTCAGGATTGAATATAGGGGGCTGATTAATTACCAATACTATTTTGAGGGTTTGTTTCAAAAAAGTATAGTATAATAGACCCCAAAACCCTAATCTATTCTTAAGGCTCCTACATTAGGGTTTAGGGTTGATTTTTCAATCCGGGCGTGAAAACATGGAAGACCCTCAGAGAACGACGCCCTTGTCCACCCCGAACCTCCTACGATGCAACGCGATTCCTTCCAGCTCGTTCTCAGATACTCCAGAACCCTTTATGTAATTTAAGGAATATACCACAAATTATATTCAGCTTCCTGTCATCACTTAAGCTGTATATTCCTTAAACTTTAAATTCCTTATTATAGGTAATGCAGGATGTATATGATCAACCGTATTAACAGCTATTTAGACCTCTGTGTCAGGTGCCTCTTGCAGTCTTGACCTTTGGAGTACCATACTTCAGAACTGTCTGCACCCCCCCAGACCCGAAATTTGAAACCTCAATCCCGCAATCCAGAAACCTGAACAGCAAGTCCGAGGCCAGCCCATCATCTTCTCTTGCTCTACTCAACAAGGTAATCTCGGGAGGCGAATTAAGATCGGAAGGACCACGAACACGCGTTTGCCCCTGCTTGAAGGGGCATAGACTCGTAAACGTAAGTTCTGAGTAGGTGTTGCAGGTGTTCTACCTGCTTTGGGCCGTGCGTAAAACCGCAAAACCCAAACCCTAAATCTTGACCCCCAGACCCAAACCCTTAAACCCTACACCCTGAACTTAATTACAACCTACTTGCTGCAGACCCTTAATCCCTAAACCCTAATATACCTAAACCCTAAAAACCTAAACGCTAATCCCTAGACCCTAAACGCTAATCCCTAGACCCTAAACCCTAAACCCTAAACCCTAAACCCTAAACCCTAAACCGCAAGCCCTAAAACCTGATCCTTCAAAGCACTTTTCTCCGAGGCCGAGCTGGCGTCGAAGACCACAGAGGAGGAGGGAGTTGGGCCCACAGCTGCTTCGGTTTATAGTGTAGGGGTTGGGGTTTAGGGTTTAGGGTTTAGGATTTAGGGGTTAGGGTTTGGGAGTTAGGGTTTAGGCTTCAGGCTTTCGGCTGGGTTGAGGGCCGGGAAGGGGCTAGGAATGAGAACAAGATTCCTTAAGGTTTTGGGGAGGCTTCATTTTTGGTGGCTATCGGCTCCTGTCAGCGACCTGGGGTCCTAGAGCAAGCTCTAGTGAGACCCTTCGTGTTTATGTCTCGGGGTCTTTGGGTTTAGGATTTCCGGGTTCGAACAAACTTGCAGTGCAGGGGTCCGATCTGTGGATCGGATCGTTTTGGGGGAGTGGCTTGCTAAACCCTAGACCCTAAATCAAGCAGAATGTAATCGCAGGTGGGTCCCCTGTTTCGGGTTCAGTTTCCTCTTGCTGCGGTTGATGCAGACCCTGACATACAGTCCAAATTGCCCTAAGCCTAAACCGAATCCTCGCAACCAAAAGACTCGAACGCTAAACCCCAACCCCTAAACCCCGAACCCTAAACCCCAAACCCTAAACCCCAAACCCTACACCCTAAACCCCAAACCCTGACCCAGCATCAGCGAAACTATCAACCTTTGGACCTCATAGATTTCAGAAAGGGTCGCTACGGCTGTTAACAACAAATAAAACAATATGTAGCAAACTGCCCCCCATATAGCCTCCATGTGCTTGTAATCATCTGTGCCCTTGCATTCTACTGTAAACTTGACGTTCAGCCGCAATTGGCAATCCCAGGACCCAGCTAGTTATAGCCAAGCAAGTCGGGTTGTTCATTACCAGTGTGTAAGCTTTTGGCTTTGAGCCACAAACTTACTTACCTTCATGAATGTATGAGGCCATGTCAAGAAAAAAGCTCCCCACCTGACCCTACGCCCTCAACCACCTTGCTCTATCTAGAGTTGCCAAGATATGGATTGCCATCGACGGCGACGTGCTGGACGTTTCTCGGTTTGCATATGTACCTGCGACTGTGTCTTTCTCTCTCTCTCTCTCTTAATTTCTGTCTCTCTCCTTACGCATATATGAATGTATCCCGTATGTGTTGCGTTTCTTTCGGGGTCTTGGCTTTGACATGGTTTCCTTGGCCGGACGTCGGGGCATCAGGCTCCGAGAGATCAGACCCGCATTCCAAGCTGAGACCTTGCAGCAGAAGAATCTCCTAGGCCCATGCAAGTGGTGCAGAATAGGGTTTAGGGTTTAGGGTTTAGGGTTTAGGTTTAGGGTTTAGGGTTTATGGCAGTTTAGAGTTTCAGCGAACTAGTCTTCGCCAGGAAAAAAGGAGCTGCACCCGGGAGTCTTGTAATTTAGAGGGAGATGGAAGCGTGTGAGTGGAAGATCGGGGGTTTGGGTATTACCGGTTTTGGGCAGCGTTTGGGGCTGGGGAATTAGAGGTTCAGTCTGAAGCCTCGCGTCTACAGTCTCTTGAGTACTCACCTATCTTACGCTTTAACTTTTCTGGGGTATTATAATCGCCATCTAATCCCGAAGGTCAACCATTCGATCCTGGGGTACTGGACAAGCAAGGAATTTCACTTGTAAAACTACTTAGAGCAGCTGTAGCTGTTGGGTCTTGGCCCGAAGTTCAGCGATTCTGCAGCGACATTTAAAGAACTCCTGTAAAAGCCATACTGAATACTGACAGCTACCATGCAAGAGTAGCCACAACAGTAAGAGCACAGCAAGCCAACGTTTTGCCCCCCAAGGGCCGTGCAAACTGCGACTCGTCGCCATTCTGCGTGATGGATGTAGCTGTAGGCTTCGGCATCAGATCCCACACCTTTCACCCGAAGGCCGTTTGAACCTGCTCCAAGGGTATCTGTAGGGCCTATAGGGTTCAGTATAGTTCTTAGAGCTTGAGAGCAGCTAGATCTATCTAGCAATGCATGTTTGATGCACACGAATGCTTTCTCCCAAGGTCACGGCTTTCCACAAGCGACATCCGGGTGGCAGCGACGTCCTCCTACAGTACGCCGGGGCCGCCGCCTTCTTGCATGGAAACGAGGGGCTCCCAAAATAGATGGATCCCAACGGTTCAACGACACCCGAGCTTGACTAACTAGGGCCACCCCATTGCCTTACATATCCATTTTTTTTACACAGATAGATAGATAGATAGATAGATAGTTAGTTATATATGTATACATATAAACATATGTGTAGATATATATATATATATATATGTACTGAATCATGTAAGTACGTACATAAGTAGGTATGCAGATTGGCAGGTAGGCAGGTAGGGAGGCAGGTAGGGAGGTAGGTAGGTAG